GCTGCTCTTGCCTCGCTTTTTCCAGCCATTAGCTGGGGATAATGGTGGTGATGGCCGAGCCCCTTGCAGGATGACTTTTAACACAGGATAACAATAAAGATGGTTTAGGATTGTATACTGGTGACAAATTCTATTCCTGAATGGCTCTGCCATTTGTCACCTATGTAGCCTTGGTACAATCTCTCTGAAACCTTGGTTTTCTCATCTCTAAACAGGAAATGATGTTAGCATCTGCCTGAGATTAGTGTGAGGAAAAAATAAGAGAATCCACATATATGTCTGTGCACTGTGTGCCTGGTGCCCATGAAAGCCAGCAGAGAGCACCAGATCCCTAGACCTAAGGTTGTAAACAGTGGTGAACCACTACAAGAATGCTGGGAACCAAACCCAGGTCCTCTGGAAAAGCAGCCAGTTCTCTTAACTGCTAAGCTATCTCTCCAACCCTCATTTGTTCAGTGTGTGTGTGTGTGTGTGTGTGTGTGTACATGTCAGTACATGTGGGCATGCCAAGGTGCAGAGGACAACTTACAGGGGTGGGGGTCAATAGTAAGTTCTCATCTTCTACTATATGGGTCCCAGGAATCAAACTCCAGGTCATCAGGCCTGGAGGCAAGCACCTCTACCCACTAAGTCATTATACAAGCCTCTCAATCCACTCTTTAAAAAAAATACTTGTTTATTTTTATGTGTGTGGCTGTTTTGTCTGCATGTATATCTGCACACCATGGTCATGCAGTGCTAACAGGGTCCAGAAGAAGGCATCAGATCTACTGGAACTGGAGTTACAGTTGTGAGCCTCTATATGGGTGCTGGGAACTGAACCTGGGGCCTGTGGAAGAACAGTCAGTGCTCTAAAGTGCTGAGTCATCTCTCCAGCACTAAGAACTTGTTACCACACCTAGCACATACACATAATAAATAATAACTCACATGACACAAATAGGAAGACAATGCAGTAGTGTGCATGTGCAGAAAATTTCAGAAGACACACTAGAGTGTTTGTGACAGCTCTTAGGACAGGGACTATGCTAACCATTGCCAACAAATGGCCTACTATCAAATCTCACAGGGCCCCAGTTCATGTTATTTGGTGTCCATTGCATCATGGCATCCGTACACAACTGATGTCTCCATGGAAGGCAGTTCACACACTCAAGGTATCTATTCTCTGTGGTGTCTTTTCTCCAAGGTCTCCGTTAATGAAGGTGGCAAGTAAAAAAAAAAAAAAAAAAAAAAAAAAAAAAAAAAAAAAACATGTAGGAGATGGGGAGAGAATTTTCTAGGGAGCCAGGAAGCACCCCACTTCATCGTTGGTGATTTTGGGACATGTGACTTTGCTAGCTGAGAATAGCTTTACTCACATCTACAGATTTACAGAACTACCATCTGTGAATTTGCTCTTACAGAAACAAATTGAAGGTAGACACAAGTGCATTAGTCCTGCCCAGAACTGAAAACGGAGCCATCAGAGCCAGCATGAGGCACAGTGGGCAGGGAAGCTGCAGGGCAGTGCAGATAGAAATGCCAGCTTCTTGGCATGGCCTCTCTGACCTGGTCCTTTCTGCATCTCACTGCTGTCCACATGCTCCCTAAGCCACCAGCATGTCACTGCCATACCTCAAACTTGGCCCTGCCCCGCTGCTGAGCCCACTGTTTGGGATTTTCCTTTGCCCACTCAGACCCCAAACAAGACTGTGACCATCTGGTTTGCAGCTCAGTACCTCTTCAGTGAGAGCTCTTACACAACAAGGAGCCTAGTCTATTCCCATTCACTGTTGCAGTCTTCAGATGAGCAGAAAACTAAAGCCTGTTTACCTCAAATGCTAGCTTTGCCCCCAACTCATTATAGGACCCTGCATAATGTAGCATATATGTACTTCAGTTTTCCCATCTAGAAAATGGGTACAATAATGCACTTACTGTAGTGAGTGGTTAGGAAGTTTAAATACTTGTCTGATATAGAGTAACAGCTGCATAAGGGTTCATTATTGTGGGCATCATAATGGTGTTTAGATATGTGCAGAATTAAAAAGAAGCCAAAAAGGGAAGGGAAAGTGTTCCCAGTAGCTGAGCACATTTCTGGCTTCACAGGCTAACTCAGGACTCCTGTGAAGTGGACCACAGTAGGACGGTTCTTACTACACACCTGCAAGGAAAGAGGGGGTGTTCACACTGATTGGCAGTCATAGCCTTCCTTCATTCGTTTTGCTTTTTGAAACAAGGTCTTGCTGTATAGCCCAGGCTTGCCTTGAGCTTGTAATCCTCCAGCCTTGGCCTCCCACGTCCCTGTATGAGAAGCAGGTGCCACCACTCCTGGCATGACTTTGTTTCTTTTCTGGGCTAGCCACTCACCTCCACCAAAGCCAGCCAACAGAACTCCCAGTCTTCATTCAGCAGCACAGCTAAACATGCAGGCACACTGCTGCCCAGTCACCCCGCCTGCCACAAAGAGGCTCTCCTCAAGTTAGGGAGGACCTGCCCAACACTGCTCCATAACGAATGAAAAACCCAGGCCTACAGAGGTTGTGTACCTGGGCTTTGTTAGTACCAAGTTCATCTCTATATTACTCGTTATGCATTCATTTTTGTCTTAGATGCTAAGGATCCAACATTTATAAAATGAAGTCCTCAGGATCTTTAAGGGTTCTGTAGTCTGGTATTTTCAAACCCACATTCTAATGCATCCGATGACATACATGTTGTTCTACAACATCCTGCCATTCATTTGCTGTGTATCTCTTGAACATAACACCAGGCACACAAGTCAAATGCCACCCTGCCCTTAGGAAGGATGGTACTAAGTAAATCACTAAGTCACAGTGAAGTTGTGTGTGTGTGTGTGTGTGTGTGTGTGTGTGTGTGTGTGTGCGCGCGCGCAGCTGAATTTATGTTCAAATATGCTAGAATAAGCAGCTTTACCGACATGCCAACATGTCTTATGAGTGTCAGAAGGCAGGCCTGGGATTGAGGGGCAGTCAAGGTAGGGTCCTGGAAAGTGTCCACTCTCCTGGGTTCACTAGTGCAAGGGTTTAACACTGTCATCCTGTGGTTACAGTGGAGGACTGGGAGCTCTACCTATTCTCATTGTGCAGATGACCAAACCAAGGCCTGAAGAATTTCACTTGTTTGTCCAAAGTAGTACAGCTGATGGACAGAAGCCCCAGACGTCCACAATGGCTTGCAAGGGTTCTTTTCAAGAGGCCCAAGTCCCATCACAGGATCCAACTCCAGCTCCTGTCTACTGCCTTCTCTCACCATCTGACTGCATACAAAGCACTGAGTGCACCTCTGCTGGCCCATACGGCTCCCTGTACCAAGACCTGGTCCACACCACTAAACAACTTTGACCCACTGTCAACACTCAAGACTCATTTGGGCTTCACTTCCCCCAGGAAACTGTGCTGGAGCTGGCCTTCTCTGCCCCCCACAGCACATCGAAATACTCATCACATAATGTGTTCATGCAGTCAACAAATATTTATTGAGCAACATCCATATGCAAGACACCTTTGAGTACAGCAATAACAAAACAAAATGCCTGCCCTTTAAGAGCTTACATTCTGGTGAACAAAACAAGCAATAAACAAACAAAACTCAAAGTCAGGAAGAGGTTATGCTATGAAACAGCAGTAAGGGCTGGAGATGGAGTTGTCTAGGAGACCTGTCTTAGGGTGAGGTATTGATCAGAGGCCTCAAGAGGCCACAGAGTAAGCCATGCAAATAGCTGGGAAAGGATTCAGCAGCAGGAGCGGCAGTGGCAGCAGTGGCGGTCCTATGGATGCTGGGACTATTCATGGCATTTCATTCCCTACTGAACTCTGAATGCCTGAAGGCAAGGGCACATCTTAACACATCTAAAGTGTGGTTCCCCCAGCCCAGCACTGAACTTGGTATCACCACAGTGGATATTTACAAAACAAGTGAATAAACCTGAGCTGGGTTGGCTGAGTGCTTAGCCAGTGTCTATGCCTGGACTTTTCCCCTGACAGCACACTGACAAGTCCAGGTTTGCCTTCCTGGCCCTCCTCTCTTTGGGCTGGATATGGGACTTCATCTACAAACCTAGACACTGAAGAACTGAGTCTTTCCAATCCTCCCCCAGTTTCCAGAGTATGAAAGTCAACACTGAGGGAGCTCTCCAGTAGCTAGCCTCCCCTTCTTGGTTTTCCTCCAACCAACCTGTTTTCCACTGGGACATCAACATTCTGACCACAGTGGACCTTCCTGTGGTTCTCTCTCCAGTTTCCATCTTCATTAAACCACATCTACCAAAGCCTCAGCACAGGCTCAGCACTGACCTCATGCTCTCTGTAGAGCACCACTCCCAAAAAGCTGGCGAATATCTTCCATGCCATAAACAAAGTCAAGCGGCTTTATTTACTCAGCTGATGGCAACAGAACCTCTCAGATTCATTGGTGCTTTGCCCCACACTTTACAAGGACAGAAATTAATTCAAGGGTGAGTGATTCATCTCCTCACTCAGCTTTCATCCCCCCCCCCCACTTACTGACACCTGCTATATGCCCTGAATCATACAACAGTGGCTGCGGTGGTGGTGGTGGTGGGGGTGGTAGAGGAAGAGGAGGAGGAGGAGGTGGTGGTGGTGGTGGTGGCAGGGAGAATGATAAAAGTAGGTTGTCACTTACTGAAGACTTGTGCGATCACTAAGGCAGTAAGCCCCATGATAGTAACTAACAGTTGGCTTCACTACTAGAGGTTAACGGGCAAAGAAGCAAAGCAGCTCGCTCAAGGTCGCACAGGTAAGCAGCAGGGTGTAGTGAGGCGCTGTCGAGCGAATACAAACCTGGCCCAAGAGTGGAACTCTAAGCACTGAAGTTTACGAAACTTTAAATAGAACTTAGATGAAGAAAATGAAAGTCAATAGCGGAGCAGACAGACACATACCACGAGGAGGCTAGAGCTACAGACAGAAGCAGCTGTCGGGGGCCAGGCCTGGAAGGACGACCCCCCTGTGCCCCCACGGCAGGCCGGGCCTCACCTCCTTCCACCTGAGCTGCCGAAGGCTGATCTTGAGCGCTTCCAGGGATGTGCGGGCCTTGGAGCTGTCCACGGTGA